GTCATATCCAGAGGTTGTCTTTGGAAAATAGACATATGAGTGCTGCCAGCATTGCTGCAGAGTTTGAAGGGGTGGGGGGGTCAGCCTGTCAGTGCTCAGACCATACGCCGCACACTGCATCAAATTGACCTGCATGGCTGTGGTCCCAGAAGGAAGCCTCTTCTAAAGATGATGCACAAAAAAGCCCACAAACAGTTTACTGAAGACAAGCAGACTAAGGACATGGATTACTGGAACCATGTCCTGTGTGGTCTGATGAGACCAAGATAAACGTATTTGGTTCAGATGGTGTCAAGCGTGTGTGGCGGCAACCAGGTGAGGAGAACAAAGACACGTGTGTCTTGCCTACAGTCAAGCATGGTGGAAGCATGGTGGTGGGAGTGTCATGGTCTGGGGCTGCATGAGTGCTGCCTGCACTGGGGAGCTACAGTTCATTGAGGGAACCATGAATGCCAACATGTACTGTGACATACTGAAGCAGAGCATGATCCCCTCCCTTTGGAGACTGGGCCACAGGACAGTATTCCAACATGATAACGACCCCAAACACACCTCCAAGACAACCACTGCCTTGCTAAAGAAGCTGAAGGTAAAGGTGATGGACCTGCCAAGCATGTCTCCAGACCTAAACCCTATTGAGCATCTGTGGGGCATCCTCAAACGGAAGGTGGAGGAGCGCAAGGTCTCTAACATCCACCAGCACCGTGATGCCATCATGAAGGAGTGGAAGAGGACTCCAGTGGCAACCTGTGAAGCTCTGGTGAACTCCATGCCCAAGAGGGTTAAGGCGGTGCTGGAAAATAATGGTGGCCACTCAAAATATTGACACTTTGTGCCCAATTTGGACATTTTCACTTAGGGTGCCAGTGGTTTTTGACATTAATGGCTGTGTTGAGTTATTTTGAGGGGACAGCAAATTTACACTGTTATACAAGCTGTACACTCACTACTTTACATTGTAGCAAAGTGTCATTTCTTCAGTGTTGTCACATGAAAGATAGAATAAAATATTTACAAAAATGTGAGGGGTGTACTCACTTCTGTGAGATACTGTATGTCAGTGGAAGATACACATGTCTGTGGTGATAAGAGCACTGATTGAAATCACGATTTGCACAATTTCACTGGTTGATAACTACATACAATATAAGGACATTTCTTTATCATCATACAAACATATTGGACTTATTTAAAGGACTTGTTTTGAATTTATGGTTTATGAATTTGTGGTTTTATCACATTTATGTATGGGGGGCACAATTTTCACTAATATATGCATAAGGCATTGAGGTATATGATACTAAGTGTTAATGTATGACTGCTCTGCACTTTGTTAATATTGGATGTCTCCTGCACTGTTTCTCCCTACCCCTCTCTGAGCTTTGCAATGCAGACTGTGAAGGAGACTGAAAGCAACTGATACCAGGTCCAATTTAGGTACTTGCACTGTTTGCATTTAGTCACTTTGCAACCGGCACATTGTAGCTGTACAGCTACAGGGCAGCTGTTCTACGAGAATCATGTATATATACGTGACTCTGCGTTTCCCCGTAGGCGGCATGCGTGTGCGTCCGCCCAGCTGTGCACGTGCGCTCGCCCGGCTGTGATTAATCATAGCACATGCCAATCAACAAGTGCTGGCTGGTGATTGACCACTGGCACCCGATGATTGGCTCTGAGACTCAGAACACAGCTCTGCCAGTGTAAACAGCACAAAGCTCCGTACAATGACAGGGGATCTAGTTGATTTTTAATTAGGAAATTAAAACAACTAGATCCCCAGTAAAAGTAGCACACAGTACACACACAAACACATGTTGGGAACTTATTTACCCCTTGATCGCCCTAGATGTTAACCCTAGATGTTAACCCTTTCCTGTCCAGTGTCATTAGAACAGTGACAGTGCATATCATTAGCACTGATCATTGCAATAATGGCACTGGTGATGTCAGTGGCAGTTAGTTAGCTTCCCCCAGCATTAGTTAGTGTCAGATTGACAGCCAGTGTTGCAGTTTTATTATGAGTCACTGATCACCGACATTACTAATATAAAAAAAATAAATAAAAATTCCAGCATATATAGTTTGTAGATGCTGAAACTTTCACACAAACCTATCAATATATTTTGAGATTTTTTAATTTTTTTTTTACCAAAGACATGTAGCAGAATACATTTTGGCTTAATTCTTTTAACAGATTTGATTTTTACATTTTTTTTATGGGATATGTTTTATAGCCACAGTGTCACAGTTTCGTTATGGGTCGCTAATCACCACCATTACTAGTATAAAGAAAAAAAAAACTAGCATATACAGTATCCCATAGTTTGTAGATGCTGAAACTTTCACACAAACCTATCAATATATTTTTGAGATTTTTTAATTTTTTTTTTTTTACCAAAGACATGTAGCAGAATACATTTTGGCCTAATTCTTTTAACAGATTTGATTTTTACATTTTTTTTATGGGATATGTTTTATAGCCACAGTGTCACAGTTTCGTTATGGGTCGCTATTCACCACCATTACTAGTATAAAGAAAAAAAAATTCCAGCATATACAGTATCCCATAGTTTGTAGATGCTGAAACTTTTACACTAACCCATCAATATACACTTTTTGAGATTTTTTTTTTTTTTACCAAAGGCATGTAGCAAAATACATTTTGGCCTAAATTTATTAACAGATTTGATTTTTTAAATTTTTTTTATGGGATATGTTTTATAGCAGAAAGTAAACATTATTGTATTTTTTTTTTGTTTTATATAATAAAAAAATTAAAAACCCAGTGCTGATCAAATACCACTAAAAGAAAGCTCTACTTGTATGGAAAAAAATATGTAAATTTTGTTTGGGTACAGCATTCTATATCCGTGCAATTGTCAGTTAAAATAGCGCAGCGCCGTATAGCAAAAAATGGCCTGGTCATGAAAGGAGGTAAATAAATCTGGGTAAGTGGTTAAAATACATTTCAAGATGTATTAATGATTACAAAGATGCATTAATGTGTGCCTCTTACAGTGTATCTATCTGGAATCCAGCTTTTTAATGAGACCATGAACATGGCTGCATGAGCTATACAACATAAATTGCAGGCATCTTTCTGAACGTACCGTCGACTAAAGCTGTATGCGGCTGTATGTGGGTCTATGCCACTAAATCCACGTGTGTCTGGTTATGTGTGCAGCTTTATGCATGTTCTTCTTTACACAAGTACATTGCTCAGCATAAATGAGTACACCCTTTTGAAAAGTAAGATTTTGATCAATATCTCAATGAACACAAGAACAATTTCCGAAATTTTCCCAAAACTGAGTTTTATAGAACATTCGTTTAGCTCATTACATGGAAGTAAGGTTAATAATATAACTTAGATTACAAAATCATCAGTTTTACTCAAATTAGTTGATGCAAAAATGAATACACCCCACAACAAAAACTACTCCATCTAGTATTTTGTATGACCTCCATGATTTGTAAGGACAGCACCAAGTCTTCTAGTCATGGAATGAACAAGTTGGCAACATATTGCAACATCTATCTTTTTCCATTCTTCAAGAACGACCTCTTTTAGAGCCTGGATGTTGGATTGACAGTGATGCTCAAATTGTCTCTTCAGAAATCCATATTCCATAGGTGATCGATTGGGTTCAGATCAGGAGACATACCTGGCCATGTTTCACTGTGGGCACCATACATTTTTCTTTGTACTCCTCACCTTTGCGACGCCATACAGTTTTGAAGCCATCAGTTCTAAAAACATTTATCTTGGTCTCATCACTCCAGAGTCCCAATAGTCTTCTTTTTTTTCAGCATAGCCCCTGGCAAATTCTAGGCAGGGTTATTAGCAAGTATTAGCAAGACCTAGACTAGGCTCTTAACGTGAGCATGAAATTAAAAGGTGAAGATTTGCTGTATTATAGGGAAAATGTAGAAATCGTAATCGTCCATATTTATTTATTTATTATTTATTTCAGGTACTTATATAGCGCCGTCAATTTACGCTTTACATATATATATTATACATTCACATCAGTCCCTAACCCTCAAGGGGCGTACAATCTAAGGTTCCTAACTCACATTCATACATACACATACTAGGGCCAATTTAGACAGGATCCAATGAAACTACCAGCATGTCTTTGGAGGGTGGGAGGAAACCGGAGTACCTGAAAGAAACCCACGCAGGCACAGGGAAAACATGGAAACTCCAGGCAGGTGGAGCCAAGGCTGGGATTTGAATTAGCGACCCCAGTACTGCCAGGCGGAAGTGCTAACCAGTGCTTACCCTAAGAAGCGCCTGAAAAAAAATCTACTTTTTGTCTTGAATTCCTTCTGAAAAGTAGTGATACAGTCCTGGTATGTAAATGTGCCTCATAAATCTATATTTGCAGCGAGATTTAAGGCACTGTGCCGATAGTCACATGAGATTTGGTGTGAGATTTGCTACTGCTGTGCTGTCCACTGTCCTCCTTGCTGGAGGATCTGACATGAGGAAGCAAAACCCTGCCTCTGCCAAGATGGTCACCTCTATAGAGACGCAATGAAGAACAAGGCAAGATTCACACATTCCAGGACAGTTTCTCCAGTAAGGATGTGAGGCCTTTATAAGATGTGATTTCTTGGCTTTGTTTAAAGAATCATTGTCACTTTTAGCATGCAGTGTCATTGGAAAGGACATCCCTTGACCCCCTACATCTCTCCTTACCTTAGCCCCCTTGATCCTCTGCAGCCGATGCTGAGATTTGCTATGTTGGCAACCCGGGGAAGTGGTGACAATGCTTCTCAGGTCATGTGACAGTTGGCCTAGCAGCCAGTCACTGGACCCAGATGCCATCAAAGCTGAGCAGGTCTTCCATACTGGGACATGCCAGATATTCTTACTGGCTGTGGAGAAGCAAGGGACTGCGAGGGAGGGCATGCAAGCAGGGGTGTATTTAGCACAAGGCAAACAAGGCATCTGCCTAGGGTGGCATTTTTCAGGGGGGCAGCTGCATTTTTCAGGGGGGCAGTGCCACCCCTCGAAAGAGGGAATGGAAGGAGGGACACGCAGCATGGGGACCAGGTGAGATCTGAGAGAGGCTGCGGGCTGCTTGATGGTGTGTACAGATCCTGACTCTTGTTCCTGGGGATGTCCGGAGCTGTGAAGGTGAGTGTCTTCTCTCTTGCCGGGGTGGGGGGAGGTTTCCACTGTATGGGGGGGTGTTGGTTCGCAGGGCCATGGATAAGGGGGTACCACCAGTCCTCCTGTATGGGGCCCAGGCCAGCAGGGGGCCCATGAAGCTGGGCAAATTGGATGTGCGTAGAGAGGGTGATCGGCACGGTGGGAGTGCAATTACTGGAACCGATCCCTTGTATGGTTCTCTCTGCAGCAGCTGAAGACTGGGTTCTCCTCCTCTTCCTCCCGCTGGTGTCCAGCTGCTGCAGAGAGAGCCATACAGGGGATCAGTTCCAGTAATTGCCCCCTCGCTGAACCCATCACCCTCACTGTGCAGCATATAGTTGCCCATGTTGCCCAGGTCCCTCTGTGTGTGCCCACCCCCCATTGCTCCTCCTCCTCTTCCCACAGTAACTGCAAGCACACAAAAGGATCCTTCAGGATGATGAACACAATAAGTAATCAGTACCGATCACTCACTGTGTTCATTCACAACTGAAGCATAGTAAACTGTGGGGTTTTCTTTCGGGGGAGGGGGGCCCTGACAGGTTTGCTGTATGGGGCCCCATGTTTTTCAAAAGCAGCCCTGTTGGTCGGTATCAGGGTCTCTCTGTGGTGGCGGTGGGTGATTTTTGTGTTGCCTAGGGCATCACGCACCCTAAATACAGCACTGCATGTAAAGTGAGTATATGGGGGTCAGAGGGGAAGGTTCTATCCAGAAACACTGTCACCTTATCCCACATTGGCAAGGTGACAATCCCCTGTCTCACAATCTCTATAGGAACATATTCAGAAGCACGTTTTGTTGAACCCATTGCTTACACAGTCTAGTCCTGAGGGTGCATAGAAATATAATACAATACGGCACTTTCTGAATCATGTAATGTAGCATTACAGCCACTCAGGATCCAGACATTCCAATGATTCTAATGCTGTGCAGACATTTAACCCCTTCCTGGAAAGTCCCTACGTTGCATCTCCTAAACTGGGTGGGTTGCAAAGAGTTAAAACCAAAGCAGCAAAAAGAGATTCAATTTTCCCACGCAGTTCAGCCCTTGAACTGCAAAACTCCTGCATAAACAACTGTCATAAACAACTTGAAAACCAACAAGCAGAAACTCCGCTAACTCTTAAAGGAAATTTTAGGATTTAATATTCAGCCACGGGCGTTGCCATTGCTCACGCACAGCATCCTCTGCTGCTCCCTATTTTAACAATATTGAATGGCATTGATAGACAGTTTGCATGTGTTAGAAACGCGTGTGTGAAAGAGCCCTTCGAAGTCTTGTCTTGTCTTGTCCGTCCATCTACCTACCTAAGAAGAGAGGGAAAAGTTCTCTATCAAGAGCTCATTCCCATGTGAGGTTAAAGGGCAGTAAAATCCTGCAGTTGAGCCACTCTTTTACCTCCCCCCTACAAAACAGAGCAGGGCGCCAGGTTAGTGTATGGTTAAAAAAAACAACACTTTAATGCCATTTCTCACTTACATCTGAAAGACCCGTAGACTGCTCCAGGTGTCAGAGTGGTGGTGCGATATACAGCTCACCGCAATCTGGATGGACTTATAGGGACACAAGCAGGGACCCGCTGCAAGATGGTAAATCGGCGGTGTCTCTCATCTCACTCACGGGACTAACAGGAAGGCAGATAGGAGAAGGTGACATGCTGTGTGTATGTGGGGGAGGGGGGGCACTGCAACGCGTTTCCGAGGTCCTGCCTTCTTTTTTAAGCCCTTGTTTAATCACAAGTTTAACTTTTTACCTCCCCCCAACCACTATCCTCTTTAGCTGCAGATGCAGCAGTCAGGGGTGTACAAGCCTTAAGGCTGCATTCAAATTTTCAGGTAGCAGAAACAAGCGATTTTGCTTGAGCAATTTTCACGCGATTTTGCATGTGGCATAGGACCAGCCCATTCACTTGATTGGGCTGTCCTATGTGCGTTTGACACCCAAAAAAAAACACCTCCTTTTCAGGTGGCAAACTTCATGCGATTTTTAAAGGCACAGTTTGCCATGCAGCAGAGTCACATTAAGGGATAATGCCACCCAAATGTATGCTTTGCAGTGATTGCCATGCGATTTGGAATATCAGGTAGAATTGAGGCGATTCCAAATTTTAAGGTGTAAATGGAGCCCAAAGCCTCCCAGATGTTCTAACATTTCACCTACTTTATTGGAAACTAACAACAATGTTTCGGCTGGACTTGGCCTTTAAGTATTAAATGTATTTTCAGTTTGTTTGGTCCAAACCCAATTAATATTCCCACAAGTTGAAGGATTCAGTAATACAAAGAATGAGATGAAGCCTGTACAGTAACTAATGGAACCCAATCAGATCTCCCTGGCCTGATATTAAACTGAAATCTTATCACACCCTGCGGGATCCTGTATTTTGCATGTCATGATTTCTCTTTGCATTGCTTTATTGAATAAACTCAAACATATACATCATTTATTTAATGAAGTTACATTTCCATTAGACAGAACCGTGCAGTTGTCTTACTGATATCTCTACAGAAAAGCAGGAGCCTGTGCTTCAGTCATGTTAATGCAGTGTTTCTCAACCTTTTTTCAGTCAAGGCACCCTTTAACCACTTCCTGTCCGGACACTTTTACCCCCTTCCTGTCCAGGGCAATTTTCAGCTTTCAGTGCTATCACACTTTGAATGACAAGTGCGCGGTCATGCAACACTGTACCCATATGAATTTTTTACTATTTTTTTGAGACTGATAAAGATTTATTTTGGTGGTATTTATTCACCGCTGGGATTTTTATTTTTTTTGCTATGTAAATGAAAATGTCCAAAAATTTTGAAAAATTTGAAAGTGTTTTTCTTATAACATTTTGCAAATAAATAATATTTCATCATAAATCTTGGCCAAAATGTATTCCATTATCTTTTTAGTAAAAAAAAAAAAAAAGCCAAATTAGTTTATAACCAAAAATTATAATTTTTAAACATTTTTTTTTTTTTTTTTTTTTTTTTTTTATACTATTATTTATGTTTTTGTTTTTTTTACATACTGTCACCCTAGCAGTACAGTGTCACCATGGTGACAGTGTATTACTTGTGGGGGGTGATGAAGAATATCTTTTTTTTTTTACACTTATTGCTTTTACACCCATATAGGATGTAAAAGCAATCATTTATCTTTCTCTCTGTCTGAATTCTTGCAGCCATTGAGAACTACTGAGTGAGCTGTGATTGGTCACAGCTTGTCACATGGTACAAGGCTGTTGTGAATAGCCTTGTACAATGTGACCTCTGTGATCATTCACAGATTTCACATGTAGTAAGCAATGATGTCAGAAGTGACATCTTGCTTGCTACTTTGCATGTGATCACTGATTGGTTAATCAGTGATCACGTGATCGGGACCTCGTACAGAGGTCCCATCCTGGAGGACACAGCGGGCACCGGATCGCGGTGCTGCGTACTCCCAGGGAGCACGCACAAGCAGGGTGCGGGGAGGCCATTTATAAACGGCCACCCGACCCTGCAGTGCCACTGTCCGGCCGTTTATATACAGAGGCCGGATGGGAGGTGGTTAAAATTATTGGCAGTCTTGCAGCACCCCATTGACTCTAAACTGTATATGATTTTAAAAGGGCTCCCCATTCTAAAATGTGAAAAACTATTCTAGTAGTTTTATAGAAAGCAGAAACATTCACACATGTAGGACACCCAACATTAGAGGTGATTTACTCTTCCACAACAAATACACTTTTGCACACTGGTACTGACTAGTATTCCAATGTTTCTCTTCTCCCTCACTTTTTCTCCATGACTGAGCTTATGTGACCCCAGCACTGATGGAGAGGGGCAGGGGAGGGTCAAACTAGGATGCTGTGCAGGCAGCTGACATCCTCCTTATCAACTGATGATGTCATTGGTTGTCAGGATGGCGGCGGCTAGAAGGGCATAATGGTGCAGAATGGAAACCTGTGGCTTTGTGTAACTAAAGGCGGGCTTGTTCCACCCGCTGGCTTGTATACAAGTTTTGGGCAATTTTCAGAGATTTTGCCAAGGCTCCCCCCTGAGGAAACCTCAAGGCACCCCGGGGTGCCTGGGCATCCTGGTTGAGAAAGGCTGTGTTAATGTATAGTGCATAGCGCTGTGTCTGCTTGTCTGTACATCTCCCCTGTTTCTTCCTGGCACATGCTCGGTTTAGTGCAGCAGAACGCTCTACAGGCAGCAAAGCAGCCTGATAATTATCAATGGCTGCATATGGCCTTAATAGGAATAATTCACACTAATTACTCAAATTAGTCAATAACGAGTTGTAGTGCTAGTTCTGTTGCTGACATAAAATAATAAGTGACAGGTAAGTCAAGTCTTCATTATTATGTAGGTTTAGGTTTTCATTATACAATGCTTGCACAGTATTCCTTCATTAATCCACAGAATCATATCTTGCATTCTGTATGTATACTATAGAGAACAGATATGTGAGCATAAACCTGATCTCTTCCAGTTTTCCGACAGAAGGAGCCTGATCTGCAGAAACAGTTTAATGAGAATGCTTGTGCTAATACTTGATAGTTTGTCCACAGGGGCCTTTACTGCTCAAATATGATTTGTCTACTAAAAATAAATACATACATTATTTGTATTTAATTTTTGAAAAAACGTATACAGTATCATGCTGGCTGTAGTTCTTATATATTGTGTACATATCTAGACCTAGACTGGCCATTTGGCAGCTCTGGCATTTGCTGGTGTGACTAGGATTATTATTTGGCTACCAATCAGCCACAACTTTATGACTACCCACCTAAGATTGGGTAGGTCCCCCTTTTGCCACCAAAACAGTCTGACTCGTTGAGGCATGGACACCATTAGACCTGTGAAGGTGTGCTGTGTTATCTGGCACCAAGCCGTCAGTAGCTGATCTTTTAAGTCCTGTAGGTTGTGAGACGGGGAAACAGTAATAATAATATTAATATTGCTGAAACTGTAATAACTATTATTATTATTATTATTATACAGTATTTATAAAGCAAAGGGGGACAGAACATGTGACAGAACAATACCAATACAATGCAAAACATGAGGGGATTGAGGGCCCTGCTCTTTCGAGCTTACAATCTAGGAGGGAGGGGATGGTGGCACAGGAGGAGATAGCTGTGGGGGATGGAGTGGTAGGGAGAGTGGAGGAGGTCGGTCAAGTTAGCAGGGGGTGGTGTAGGCTTCCCTGAAGAGATGGGTTTTCAGGGTGTGCCTAAAGGAGAAGAGAGTAGGTGATAATATGATGGGTTGGGGCAGGGAGTTCCAGAGGATGGGTGACACCCTGGAGAAGTCCTGGAGGTGGGCATGGAAGGAGGAGACCAGGGAACTAGAGAGAAGGAGGTCTTGTGAGGAGTGGAGTGTGCATGCTGGGCGGTACTTGGATATTAGGTCAGTGATGTAGTTCAGGGCAGTATGGTGGATGGCTTTGTACGTCAGCGTTAGGATTTTGAATTTGATCCATTGCACAATCGGAAGCCAGTGGAGGGATTGGCAGAGGGGGGTGGCGGAGATGGAGGTGAATGAGTCTGGCAGCCGTATTCAGGATCAACTGAAGCGGGGATAGCCAGGCCAGTGAGGAGGGAGTTGCAGTAGTCGAGTCGTGATATGATGAGGGAGTGGATGAGCTGTTTAGTGGTTTCTGGAGTTAGGAACGTGCGGATTTTGGCGAATAATAATTTTTCTTAATTCTATTATC